TTAAAATTTCATTTCAGCAAATTTTAATGAAAAAAATAATTAAATAGGTTGAGTGACTTTCTATGCAAAGAAATCATAGTTGAGTGACTTTTGAGTTGAAAATGAAAGTTAAGTGACTTTTTGTGAAAAAAATTAATAGTTGAGTTACCATCAAAGTTATTAACTCCAGTTTTTAGTGGTAAAGTTTATGTGCAATAAATATTGAAACTTAATTATCAAGTTTGTACAAACTACTCTCCGTCTCAATTTATGTAATATATTTTGAATTTTGAGATTCAAATAAGTTCATTTTATATGATAAATTTTTATATATCTTTTAAAAAAATTAGAGTCAATTATTGTGATTTATAGTACTTTTTAGGTAGTTTATATATATATATATATTTCATTTAAAAAAAAAATAAAGGTATTATGCGCAAATTCTCGGTAAAACTTAAATTGTTTAACTCTAAAAAAAAATATGAAATGTGTCACGTAAATTGAAACAGAAAGAGTAATAATTATTTAACAAGTTAGGTAAGTGATATAATTTATGATTGGTCGTTATATGATGAACCTAAATTGACGTGACTTGGCCTCTCTCCAATAATGATTTCCTCCGCTTGGGAATGACAATGAGCCGGGGTGGACGCGAGACGTGATGGGTTTAAGGCTATGCGGGGCGGAGTGGATTTAAAATTATGTGAGGCGGGTTAAAGTGAGTTTTTTAAAATTAATGCGAGTCGGAGCGAAGCGATTTGCGGATATATGTGATTTTGTATGGGTTTAAACTTAATTTAACTTTTTACATGTTATAGGAGTGATAGAATATTATTTATTAAGATAATTTCTTTAAAACTACTAAAAGCATTTAAGATAGTAAATGAAAATGGTTCAATAAAAAATAATACAATTTCGTACATGTTTCCCAATTGATCTCTAAAAAAATTAATTTAAATCACTATCCTATTAAATTAGTACAACTTAATGAAAAAATGAATTTATTTTATGAATTTTATTTTTAGTATCAAACTTAACTGGAAAAAGAAAATATTACAAAACTTATGCGGGGCGGATTTATGCGGATCAAGTTGAAAATGAAAAAAGTAGTTATGCGGCTGGACGGATTAAAAATTTTGCGGGTCAAGCTCAATCCGCCCCGCCTCACCCCATTGTCACCCCTATCCTAAATGAATGACATGTGTCTTTATACAACGTTTGATAAGCAGATAAGAAATAAGCTATGTATATTAAAAATTAATATGATGTTTGGTTGACAATTTAGAAACCCACATATCCATAATCTAATATATATATAAGTTTTGAGGGAATCTATGTATTTCTTTTATGTAGGATAAATGGTAGAATAAGTAATACAAGTATGACTAATGCTTGCATAAGTTGATACATTGATTCACTCGTAACTAATTCATACATTACTAATACTTGCATAACTTTAACCAGCTACCAAACTGCCCCTACTAGATAGAAACGAGTTATTCATGTATAATTTCCATATAACTTATATACGGATGTTTGGTTGATAGATAGAAAATAAGTTATTCATGTATAAAATTAATACATGAGTAAGTTATGAGGAATCTAAGCATTATTATATGCATGATAGAAGGTGAAACAAGTAAGATAGAAACACTAAAAATACCCTTAAACTCTGTGCAAATTATTAGTTTCATCTCCAATTGATAACCTTAGAAACACCTATTTACTTGACTAACTAATTAACTTAAATACAACCTTAAAAGCGCCTCTATGCATTATTTTATGCACAATAGAAGGCAAAACAAGATAGAAACACTGAAAATACCCTTAAACTCAGTGCGAATTATTAGTCCCATCTCCAATCTATTGACAGTTTTAAAAACACATTTTTACTTGACTAACTAATTAACTTAAATACTCTCCCCCCATCTTTTAACATAAGTGAAATACACCCCTAAATTCTTGTCATATTTAGGGGTATTTTCAACACTTCTCTCGTCTTTTTATTAAGAACTACATGCTTCTAAAAAAATTTGAGACCACTTGAAATGTCGTCATGTGACAGATCGAGAATCTCTTAGTTTAGTTAGTCAAGTAAAAATGAGTGTTTTTTAATACTGTCAATAGTTCAACTTCTTCTTCACATATATTAATAATATATATCAACCTCTCTTTCTGTGGTTTTCTGTTCTATGAAAAACTGGCAGTGGCAGTTGCAATAGTAAATTGAGTCTGAGAAAAACAGGGGATGTGAAAAAAAATCTAAGGAATTTTAAAAAGAATGGAATAATAGCCATTTTTATATCCAGTTGGTGTGTCAGTAAGTTCCAACTAGCAAATTCCCCACTATTAAATGTGCCCCATTGCAAAATTCATGTATTCAATAACCACTAAATTGAGAAATTAAAAAAGAAAAGAAAAGAGAAGAAGAACGTAGAGTGAAAGAATGGGGGGAGATAAAGGGAGAATGATTTAGAGAATTAATGGTAAAATAAAAAAGTTTAATATTATATATTTAGCGGGTCAGGTTTAAATGAATATATATTTGGTTCTTAAAATTTTGATGAATAATTAAAATTTCATTTCAGCAAATTTTAATGAAAAAAATAATTAAATAGGTTGAGTGACTTTCTATGCAAAGAAATCATAGTTGAGTGACTTTTGAGTTGAAAATGAAAGTTAAGTGACTTTTTGTGAAAAAAATTAATAGTTGAGTTACCATCAAAGTTATTAACTCCAGTTTTTAGTGGTAAAGTTTATGTGCAATAAATATTGAAACTTAATTATCAAGTTTGTACAAACTACTCTCCGTCTCAATTTATGTAATATATTTTGAATTTTGAGATTCAAATAAGTTTGTTTTTTATTATAAATTTTCATATATCTTTTTAAATAATTAGAGTCAATATATATATATATTTATTTCATTTTTTTTTTTAAATTAAGGTATTATGCGCAAATTCTCGGTAAAACTTAAACTGTTTAACTCTAAAAAAAATGAAATGTGTCACGTAAATTGAAACAGAAAGAGTAATAATTATTTAACAAGTTAGGTAAGTGATATAATTTATGATTGGTCGTTATATGATGAACCTAAATTGACGTAACTTGGCTTCTCTCCAATAGTGATTTCCTCCGCTTGGGAATGACAATGAGCCGGGGTGGACGCGAGACGTGATGGGTTTAAGGCTATGCGGGGTGGAGTGGATTTAAAATTATGCGGGGCGGGTTAAAGTGAGTTTTTTTAAATTAATGCGTGGCGGGGCGGAGCGATTTGCGGATATATGTGATTTTGTGTGGGTTTAAACTTAATTTAATTTTTTACATGTTATAAGAGTGATAGAACATTATTTATTAAGATAATTTCTTTAAAACTACTAAAAGCATTTAAGATAGTAAATGAAAATGGTTCAATAAAAAATAATACAATTTCGTACATGTTTCCCAATTGATCTCTAAAAAAAATAATTTAAGTCACTATCCTATTAAATTAGTACAACTTAATGAAAAAATGAATTTATTTTATGAATTTTATTTTTAGTATCAAACTTAACTGGAAAAAGAAAATATTACAAAACTTATGCGGGGCGGATTTATGCGGATCGAGTTGAAAATGAAAAAAGTAATTATGCGGCGGGACGGATTAAAAATTTTGCGGGTTAAGCTCAATCCGCCCCGCCTCACCCCATTGTCATCCCTATCCTAAATGAATGACATGTGTCTTTATACAACGTTTGATAAGCAGATAAGAAATAAGCTATGTATATTAAAATTAATATGATGTTTGGTTGACAATTTAAAAACCCGCATATCCATAATCTAATATATATATTAGTTTTGAGGGAATCTATGCATTTCTTTTATGTAGGATAAATGGTAGAATAAGTAATACAAGTATGACTAATGCTTGCATAAGCTGATACACTGATTCACTCATAACTAATTCATACATTACTAATACTTGCATAACTTCAACTAGCTACCAAACTGCCCCTACTAGATAGAAACGAGTTATTCGTGTATAATTTCCATATAACTTATATACGGATGTTTGGTTGATAGATAGAAAATAAGTTATTCATGTATAAAATTAATATGACGTTTGGTTGATAATTTAGATATCCTTATGTCTAATACATGTATAAGTTATGAGGAATCTAAGCATTATTATATGCATGATAGAAGGTGAAACAAGTAAGATAGAAACACTAAAAATACCCTTAAACTCTGTGCAAATTATTAGTTTCATCTCCAATTGATAACCTTAGAAACACCTATTTACTTGACTAACTAATTAACTTAAATACAACCTTAAAAGCGCCTCTATGCATTATTTTATGCAGGATAGAAGGCGAACAAGATAGAAACATTGAAAATACCCTTAAACTCGGTGCGAATTATTAGTCCCATCTCCAATCTATTGACAGTTTTAAAAACACATTTTTACTTGACTAACTAATTAACTTAAATACCCTCCCCCCATCTTTTAACATAAGTGAAATACACCCCGAAATTCTTGTCATATTTAGGGATATTTTCAATACTTCTCTCGTCTTTTTATTAAGAACTACATGCTTCTAAAAGAATTTGAGACCACTTGAAATGTCGTCATGAGACAGATTGAGAGTCTCTTAGTTTAGTTAGTCAAGTAAAGATGAGTGTTTTTTAATACTGTCAATAGTTCGAAGATGAAACTAATAATTTACATCAAATTTAAAAGAATTTTCAATAGTTCTCTCAAGAAATAATACATATAAATGACTAAATTTTCATCTTTTTTTTCCTATAAATATGGATACGGCTTACTAAGAAAACATATAAAAAGGTCTCCCCTTGGCTTGAAATATGCCCAATAAATTAATTGTATTGGAAACGTACCAAATAGTAAACTTGACGTTTGTTCTCACGTCATTGCCGTTGACGTTAGGGTACTCTACACCATAATTTCCATCATCAATTATATATACATCACTTCCCTCTCCATTTTTTCTTCCCTTTCCTACCCCCTCCAACCCCCCCCCACCCCCCAAATCACCACCATGCACCAAACTTTAGCATATAGAAATTGGTTTCCCTCCACCACCACTACCACCACGACGATCAGTGGTAGTTCATCCGCCACCACTAGTGGTAGTTCATCCGCCACCACTAGTGGTGGTTCCACCAATTTTGAGTCACGTTCAGGTAATTATCATAGAGATTTGATTTAGAATTTAAATTTGATGGGTTTAATTAAATTTATCGAAGTTATTTGAATCTGTTTTCAATATTTCATGCTCTTGTTAGTTTAATAGTTTACTCAATAATTCCTCAATGAATTGATTGATTGGAATTGAGGGATGAATAGATGTTATAGACGTGTACATCTATTTTTTCACTTTTTTCGATCCTTCCATTGTCTTTGAATCATATTCAAGTCATTTGACGGGTTCAACTTTTAAATTCTTCTAGCTAAATTCATTTCACTTTTCACATATAATTCGACTCTACAGGTGAGAAAAAGGAGATGAACTATGTTGGTGACATGAGATCACGATACAAAAATTCCTTCATTACTACGAGTGTAGCGAAATCCATCTCGGAAAACGCGATAATTGTTGTAGCGTTACGTGGGTGTTGCATGTGCCATGTTGTGAAGAATTTGCTTCTAGGGTTAGGTGTTAACCCTACGATTTTCGAAGTGAACAATGAAGATGAAGATGATGTGAAGAAGGAGTTGTCGATAATCGTGGGTGGCGGTGGTACGGGTGGTGGTGGTGGAACAACGACGGCGTTTCCGGCGGTTTTCGTTGGTGGAAATTTGTTCGGAGGACTAGAAAGAGTGATATCCACACATATTTCTGGTGAATTAGTGCCAATACTAAAAGATGTTGGAGCTTTATGGCTTTAAATAATTTTTACCTACCTAGTCAATTATTATTCTCTTTTGTTAGGTAAAAAAAATCATTCAAAAAAAAGAATATATCAGTCATTCAATCTCGATTTTCGTGCCAATCAATAAATCTTGAATCTAGTTAATTTGTTAACAGTGAGAATTGAATTCACATTGATATAGCTTTAATTAAGAAAGTAAAAAACCTTAAGAGTTTCATTATTTAATTTTGTTAAATTTGATTGCTTCTATGATTTGCTGACTTTGGCATTACCTATTTTATAGTTAATAAAATATAATTATATCTTGATCATGACATGCTAATTTCGTTTTCTTTTACTTCATCAGTCCCATTTTATATGACATCCCATTCTATAAATAGTTAAACCATAATACTTGTCATTTTATAAAATTTATGCATAAATTATCATATTTTGCCTATCATACCGTTGATAGAGTAGTTAATTAATCTTGAAAATGTATTCATCATTTATTATAAAGTTGACTTAAGAAAACATTAAATAAGGATAGAAGAGTAAAATTAAATCATTTCTTAAGGCAAGTGCAAAGTAAAAATGTGACATATAAAATAGGACGGAGGAAGTATTTGTCAATTGGAGTAGTAATTAATTAATTTTTTTATCTAGACAGATAAATTATAATAATTTTTTTTACATTAATATTATTTGTTTCAGTGATCTGAAATAAATTTAAATGAAAATATAATTAGCGAGAAGTCATACCATCAAAATAGGCAAAATTATATTGTTATAATCAACATAAAAGAAGAAGAAAAAGATTGCTCTATTATTAGAGCATTATTTTAAGATATCCAAATTAAATATTGAATTATTAAGATATTGTCTTTATATTGAATAAAGAGTTGAGACATAATCTTTATGGTCTTAAATTTTGACTAATTAAGCAAGCGTGTTTACTGTTTAGGTAATGTAAATTAATATACATGATTAGTGGTCCTAATTAAGTAAACTTAGATCATTTGACTAGATTTTTTAGTTGGCTATATTGACCAATGGCGTACCTATATTGATCGATTCAAAGATAGTCATTAGAACATCATTTATTGAAAAATTATATTATGTATATAGAAAATAATATCGTATATATAAATTAAAAACAACTTTTTTTACAGCTCTATACTAAAGTTTTAGAGATAATATATATTTAATGTGATTATATTTCTGGTCCTTGTTATATATTCTATATTATTGCGAAATATAGAGTGACAACTAACAACACAAGCTTTTCATAATACATTAATGTTTAAGTAGTGGAATTGTTAATAATTATGGTAAATCTATGAATATTAACTAACAAAGGAATCAAAAGTGCATCATTCAATTAATTGAAGATTTAACGTGCTTAACCGGCCGATATCATAATTCATAACCATCAAAATTAGAAAATATATAATAGAGGGGACAAATGTGTAATTAACCCTTAATTAAAAATAAATTAATCTTAAGTCCTTTAATTAGTGAGGATTATTCTTTAATTAATTCTATTGACCATTCAAAGTGTGATTACGCATTATTACTCGTGAGTTGAGAATATTCGCTAATTGACAAATATTATACCAACCAACCCATTTAGTTGGGGTCATATGCACTTCCACCGCTATTTTGTGGTGATTTTTAATTTTTATTCCTCGTAATAAATAATTTTTTTTGTTATATTTAAAGTATAAGTTTATATTTATGTATCATAATATCATAATATTTTATACGTTATATTTGGATGTGACTTCAATTTTCAAACAACTTATGTCCATTGATATAACTTTGATTGCTAAACGACAAAATTAAAGATTAATCTATTTATAGGGTAAAACATGCAAATTTATGATTTAATTATTCGATATGGTTATAAATTATTTAGGATCCTATAAAATTTTTTTTAGAAGAAACCTAATAACTGATTCAGTATATGTGATCGATTAAGTCAGTTCTTAAAAAATCATTGACACCCTTACCATTTAAAAGAAGACAGATCTGGCTCACTACTATAAGTGATCTCTAGAGAACTCAATTAAAATATCATCGGATGAACCGCTGAGATCACCTATTCGAGGCGAGCCAAATCTTTAAAGGAATGATGAAATTAACGTTTCTTGACATTTACAAAATGTTAATTTTTTAAATACTTTGTGTAAAAATAAAAATTTGTCTCATAAAATGAAGATCTCTTCTAAAAAAATACATAAAACTAAAAAATAATAATTATAAGTGCCCTACAAGATCAAAAATCACATAACATTATATTACTTTTTTAAAGTTTCCTAAATGAATGGATCTTGATACACTAATAAAGATCCATGAAATTAATTTAAAAGGATAGTGAAATCAATATTTAATATCATCATATTAAAATTGATTCGTTCAACTTTTGACAAAGAAAAGGACTTTAGAATTTCTTTAACATGAGCTCAGATTGTGAAGGAACAGTTAGTTATGTTCTCAAGTCAACTATAATTTTCTTTACCAAATTTATAGATTTTATAGATGTAGTTATATAAATTTACTACTATTAATTAAAGAGATAATAAAACTTTTCATTCTCTAAGTTATTGGTGTTTCGGATTTATTCTCATAAAAAAATCTGTTATATTTGATGATTTGTAGAATTATATTACTATCAAATATGAAGTAAGAACACAAGTTTAACATAATGTAGAAGTACACATTTTAATTAATTTAAAAGTTAATTATATTTAACCAAACGTCACAATGATCAAAATTAGAATTTATCAATAATTAAGGGGTTAAAGGTGCCATTAACCCTTAATTAAAGTATCAAATCAACTTTAACTCCCCAGTAAGAGGATTATTGTATTATATTGTGTCGTTCGTATAAAGACGATGATTGTTTTTAGTATTACTTAAGTATTATTGCATGTATCATTAAATTCAGCGTTATGTAACAATGAAAAGTCTCGTAATTTTACGTAACAATTAATTTGGTGTGATCGTGTCATCACATTATTAAGTTTTCTCTTTTGTATTTACTTAAAATCTAACAAACATATTTTATTCTTTATCCTACCTTCGTGTACCTTACTTTTCTTATAAGTTTGTCCTTATTATTGATGTGTGACATAATATAACGATAGAAAATGATATAATTTATCTAAACATTATATTTACTAAAATAATACAATATGAAATAACATAAAACTATATAATACGAATATTCATTGAATGGACAAATAAGTATAAAGAAACTAATAATATTAGAAAATCAAGTTTGTATAAAGATTTTGAACAATAAGATCATAATACTATTTACATATCATTTGAAGTAAATAATATGATGGTAAAAGTAAAATAAAATATTTAGTTTGTTTGTTGGAGTTTTTAAAAGAAAAAATAAATATATAAATAGAATATTGCGAAGGACGTGAATAAGCATATTACACAAAAGTATATATTAGAATAGATTCAAAAACATTCGTATATCAAAATTCCTTTAACATAAACATTCATCTACATGTAAAATTTGAAAGCATTAAATCATAAATTCTAACCATATTTATCTTGAAAAATTGGCACAACATGACAATCTATAGATTTAATTAGCATCAAATAATTTATTTTTTATTTTTTTGGCAAAAAAAATGATTTTTTAATAGCTTTAAATAGCCATATTTTTTTCTTCTAATATTTATTATCGTTCTTTTTTTCCCTCTCTCGTTGTTCTCCCCCCCCCCCCCCCCCCCCCCCCCCCCCCCCTCTTTCCCTATTACTCCCTCTCCCTCTGTCCCTAATTACTTGTCCACTTTTGAATTGACACACCTATTAAGAAATCAATTAATGACATAATGAGTTTACCACTTTATCCCTATTAATTATGAAGTGGATGAAAAGTTATGCATTTTTCAAAGTAATTAGTCATTTAATTGAGGGGTATAATAGGGTAAAAAAAAAATTTTGTCCTTTCTTGATTTGTCAAAATGGACAAGTAATTAGGGACAATTATAAAAGGAAAAGTGGACAAGTAATTAGGGACAGAGAGAATACTTGTCAACTATTTTTGTCATGAGACCTAAAACAGTTGCACAAAAATAGGGAAATATTATTTTATTATTAAAAAAATAGTTTATCTTTTAACTCTTCATGTTTTTCTCTTTGTTCCCACTTTTTCTCCTTCAAATTTTAGGATTTCTATCTTCTCTCTAAATATCTCCATCAGACATCAATTACAAATAGTAACGATTAGTAACTCAAATCACACAATTTAAAAAAAAAAATTTGATTGTCTCGGTTTTTTTCAAAAAAATTGAGAGTTTCTACATTATTTTATCTTGTAGTTGAATGCAAGGTTTTTATTTACAAACTTTTGTGTTGTTTTATTATATTTCAATTGGTAAGAGTAATTTTATTATCAAAAGAGAAGATATGTAAAGCTAAGTGACAAAAATTGCAACGACAATGTAAAACCCTTGGAGGAAATGGGTGGACTGACAAACGACTATGAGTTTGTAAATCATCAATTGTAATTGTAGGTACTAATGAACAATAATTTCAATTTTGAAGATTTTCTACCAACAACATCGATTTAAACACATGCAAACTCACCTCAGTATTCAAATTGAAGAAGCATTTGATTCTTATATAATTTGAAACATGAATTCGTATACATTGAGATAAAACTCTATAACAATCTAATGTATACGTCTTCAAACTAAATGTATATGTAATTTGTATTATGTATATGCAGTTGGAACTATGTATACAAACATGATTTTATTTATCGAAAGGTAATATATCTATACATATCAATAGCTACAAATTATACTTATGTATACTAAAAATATATACAAACAAAATATTAGTAAAGTATACATTATAGTGCGAATGTATATTTGATTAATTGTATACTTAATCGCATGTATTCAATTGAATACATACTTATTAGCAGTAGATTTCAACGTTCAACACATACTAAATATATATATAAACATATCTTAGACACCTAATACTAAATTTAGATTATGCAAGTGGATACACAAATAATATAAAAAAAGGAAAGTGCAAACATATATTTAATCAAATATATTTAACTGTTTACACGATTTAATCTATAATTATGTATACACTAAACATTTGTATATTATAATCTATATTTAATACAAATATGGATTGAGTTTCTTATCATAACTTCTAGCAAACAATTGAGAAAAATAATTTATACATGGTAGCTAGAGACTCATAAAAATATCATTTGAAAGAAGAATGGTCATAATTAAATACAATTGCTAATTTTAATGAGAGAGATAATTCTAAATAAATATTTTACTAGTTTTAAGGAGAAATGGTGGAAATTTAGAAGAGAGATGGTATCAAGATTTTTTTTATATTTTAAAGAAAAATAATTTGAAGAAGAGAGAGATAGATAGATGTGAATAGGAATTTTCTTCCCTATTATTATGCAGAAAATGTGTATAACTATTAAATGCCAATTCTTTTTAGGATTTATCTGTTAAAAATTTATTTAGCTAAAATATGCCAATTTAATCTAAGAATTGTATATGGTCAATTCCTCATTTATCTTTCAATTATATTATTATAGCCCAATCCTATCTTGTGCTATCTTTTACTCACATTTGCCCAACTTCCTTTGGGGCCAATAAAAGGCTAACATTCATTATAACTATTAAAATGAGATAGCCCAACCAGCCTAATTCAAATTTTATGAATCAAATTTGACGAATTACGTCGGATTGATCCTTCATTTGAAAATGATTTTTTTTAAAAAAATTTTTTATTTTATTTTATGGTCTTAAACATTTCGAAAGTTACATTAAAAAATTGACAAAAAGAAAGAAACATTCTTTTAAGGTTTTAGATCAAATTAAAAGAAAAATATATGGGCTGCCCCTGAAATAATCTTCTAACCTATGGATCGTCCTCGTTCCAGCTTCAATCGCAAACTGACCAACTAGGACTGAGCTTATAATCCTCAATTTTAAATGGACCGAATAAATCTTAATCCAACACTACCTAAGTAACAGGCTGAGTTGATCTTAAGTAACAAGCCTATTTTGACGACTCTAGTGATCATTTATCTTTTATTTATATTAATCAAATCTTCCTCTCATGCTATCATAAGACTTTTGTGCATTAAAGTTTGAGAAAATTTCAAAAATAATAATAACAGTTTAAACTTTTGAGCAGACTAATTATCGAATATAGATTATATTGCCCTCCTCTTTTTTTCGACCTGGATAATTGCGTTGGTTCGTTTCATCCTCCTATCTACACAATCTGTAGTGCCTCCCTCTTTTTTTTGATCCGGACAAATGCGTTGGTTCGTTTTATCCTCCTATCGACCCAATCCCCCCCACCCCCAAACCCCTTCTTATTCTTCAAAAATTAAATTGTTTTTCAACTTCAAACTCAAAAGACGTCTATTGACTGTCCTCAGTCTTATAGAGTAAGAAATCATTTCCTCCACGCCGATTCCATTTCCCTCTTTTTCTAATCAAATTCTCTCTCTCTACTACACCCATGAGGAGGCTATTCGGTAGAAGTCCCGCCGGAGAGTCGCCGCAGCAATCTTCTCCGTCACCGTCGCCTCCACAGACTTCTCCTCCATCCTCTGTCAACATTGCTGCCGGTCCGGCGAGACCGATTCGTTTTGTGTATTGCGATGAGAAAGGGAAGTTCCAGATCGATCCCGAGGCCCTTGCTATACTTCAACTCGTCAAAGAGCCTGTTGGTATTGTCTCCGTTTGTGGTCGTGCTCGTCAAGGCAAGAGCTTTATACTTAACCAGGTAAATTTGTAGTAAAGTTTTTGTATTCTTTTTAGTTAATTATGTTAATTAGGGTTTGTAGTTTAGTGTAATTGTCCGATTATGCATGAGAATGAGAGTATTGCTAGGGTTTTGCTTGTCAGTGCTGTAGCTAGTGGTTGTTTGATGACTAAAATTATCAAGCACATTGCTCTGGAACTAGAGATATAGAATCATTAAATCAATCAATCAACTCTGCCATAATCCAAAAAATAGGTAGAGTTTTTAGAGTCCTGCTTAAAGTTAAAGCTAGGAGAGCAGAAACTGAGGGAAAAAAACCTATGTTCTTATGCGAGATGGGAATAAAGGCTACTAACATCGGAATAGCATATTGCTTTGGAACTGGAGATACAGAATCATTAAAACGATTGATCAACTTTGCCTTAATCCAAAAGATAGGTAGAGCTCTTAGAGTCCTACTTATAATTTTTGAGGTAGTTCTTTCGTTAAGGCAAGGAGAGCAGGAACTGAGGGAAAACAATCAATGTTCTTACGCGCGATGGGAATAATGACTGCTATGATTGGAACTCACGACCTAAGTAGTAAGTAACCTTAGAATGGGGATGTCAATCTTATACAGAAAATACAAGCTATTTAAAGTAACCTTGTAGGGGGGGGG